AAGTCCCACATCTCTTCACTCAGGTTCTCTGACTCGAGCCTTTTCAACTCCTCCAAGATCCACTGTTCACGCTGCAGCAAAAGGGCGTACGACATTTCCAGTGAGGTGGCTTCGTCAGGGCAGCTGAGTAGTTGTTGCACGATAGTGACGAAGTTGATCAGATCAGGACATTGACCTGTGTGGTAGGCTCGAGCTTCCTTCTCATAGCTGTATATGTCATTGGCGATTGAAAGGTGCTCTGTCGCAAGCTTCATGAAGTGCGCAATGGCAGGGTCTTTCATGTTGATACTGGATGCTAGGGAGAACTTTACGGCAGCGAAGGTCCAGCCTGCGCAGATGTTTCCGTCGCGGAATCTGAGGTATTCATCCAATGAAGTGAATTTCTCTGGGTGTTTGATAGATTGGAGTGAGTGGTTGAGGAGCTCTCTGTACATGTCTTCGCCTCCGTTCCCCTTTTGTGCATCGGCGGCACGCACGTCAAGTGTGACTTGGTCGAGGAATGCTTGTAGAGGTGTCTTTGCGAGTTTGGATGTGTATTTGGGATCCTCTAGTCGCTTACAGAAATCGTCGATCAACATGGGGACTTCCTTGTCGCCTACTACTTCGCTCCGGTCTAGCGTTGAGGTTAGTTACTTGGTCTGAGCGGAGCCATGAGACTGGGACGAGTGAACATACCATCGAAAAGGAAAAGCAGGCAAGCGAATATAGCTATGAGCTCAAATCGTCGTGCGTCTGTGGTGAAGGGGTACATGTAACCTGGGCAGCGCAAGACGCGGTGCTTAAAACCAGGACGAAGTTCTCGACGTGCAATGTCTTGAATAGAATGTCCATCCTTGACAGGAAGATGTTCCGCATCTTTCTCACTTGCGAGAAGATAGATCGTTGTTCTCCCCGCCTCCAGGCCCTCCTTCCAGAACCGTGTTTCGTATACGTCTGCGATGGAGCTGCAGTAAGGAACGTCACAGATGCCATTGAGCGGGCTGAGAGTATTGAACACGCGTTCCTTAGTATTGTGAACCTCGCCTCCGCCTCTAGGAAACGAAATAGGACAACGACGAATCCATGACGGATTGGACTGTAAAGGGTTGTGCAGATACCGTATAGGGCAGATTCGGTCCTGCTCGGCCTCACTAACAAGGCCAGTGAGAGAATGATGAGGGATAACCATGTTGAAACAATCGAGCCCTTGGAGTCGGAAACTTTGAGACGTCCCATTCAGTTGGACTTGCAAGATACTTATGGGCCGGAGACACGTATTGCATGTATTACGAGTCAGCGCCCTGGCTTGGATATTCTGATGGAGAGTGGACCAGGGTGGGATCCCGGAGAAATTTCCTCATGCCGGTAAATACCCCTGCAAGATCAACCGTTTGAGCTTCCCGTTCTTATCACGTTTGATCAACGAGTATCGTGGCTCGACTCAAATATGTCCGAAACGGTCTTGACAGCTTGCGAGCACCCCACATCTCGCGACAAAGAGTCCACTGCTTGCCCTGCATGCCATCATCCTAGTCGCCCTACCATGCGCGCGTGTGGCATAGTCCGGGCACCGCTGCCTTTTCGCGTAGTCTGAGCGACATCTCTGCCGTGAAAGTCTTTTGTCACGAGGTCCGGCCCGTCTCGCGCATGACGGAGCGGCCCATGGCTGTTGCCATTTGTCAACGTTTTTCACCCCAATGCTATCTCATTGGAACGGAAGAGCTTCCGTACCGTCTGCTAAGGATTACACCATGCCTTGTTTCGAGGAGTGTACTTCGTTTGCGGTTCCCGCGCTGTTATTCTCACCCCTGTTTATTGGGCGAAGGGTTCAGAGAACACTAATGCCCTTCGTGCATACGCGACAATGGCTATACGCGCTTGTTAGCTCCACGGAAACGTAGAATGTGCCTTTAGGTCTGCTGAGGGCCTGATTTGTACGGCAATAGCCATTGGTTTGTGCTTTGGTGTCGCTTGCTAGTTCTTGTCGAGTGTTGTCAAACCGTCTGTGTCATGGCGTGAACTGAGTCGTACGCGAGTAAGATGGCGTGTACCTTTGCGGCGATCTACGATCTTTTTACCCAACCCTTCTGCCCGTTATCTTTGTGTCTACTGGCGATTCCTAGAACCCGTCATTGGTCGAAAACGGCGCTTATCCTCGAACCACTTTGGCATGCACAGCGTCTCATAGGGCGATACTCGACAGGCCTCTTTCCATCGGTCCTTCACCGCTTCTTTTTGAACGAGGTTGTTCCGACAGTGTAGAAGGATGTGTACAACAGCCGGAATCGGAACGACTTCTTCCAGTATAGGTTCATGGCGTGGATTCCGACGATGCGTAGTCAATGGCTTCGAGACGAGGGGTAGCGTACGACGATAGCTGGTCATCCACAATAGTTTTGGTGACATGTGAATACCAGCGATTTTATTTAGCTGTTTTTACAGTAGACGATGCTCATTTCCAGTTACACATAGGTCGTATGCGGTATCGTGGGCCCGAGATATCCGGATGAAAAGTTGGGTTTCATCTCCAGCGACATGACTCCAGTAGCAGTTCTGCAAATCATCATAGTTCTTGTGAGTACCAAGAGATCGCAGTACGTTGAGCCAAACTTGGCCAACACTTCACTTCGAGTCTTGTATCGTGTCCCACACCTAAATTGTCAGCTATATGCGTACGTTATTCGTTACGACGAAGCCGACTGCCATGTCGTGATTCGGTCTGTGACAAAACTGTGGGGTTTTGGAAGTAAATGCAAGTGCGTAAAGAAGTACAAGACTTGTTTTGACGTTGTTCATGGACTTTTCGTAGAAATCATGGCCAGCCGTGGCCTTTGGCGTGAATTTCAAATCCCGGCAACTCGGAAGCGAAAGGCATATCGATACCAGCTTATCACAACGACTTATCGTTACACGCATGTTTATCCGCTTGAGTATATCACAAAGTGTATGAGAAGGCGTGGTGTAGGAGTCTGGTTGCCTGTTATCCTTGGGATCTCGAAGAATTCTGACGTAGCAGATACGGAATTGGCTTACCAGCTTGCATGCAACGGCATGGTGCCGTATGACCACGACGCGCACTATTTGATGGAAGGAATGAAATTTACAATGGCATGCTTTAATCTTCTCTTTGACCGACAGTGCCCTTACTCCCAGAGATTAAACGGCTGATGATCGATGTCCATGATTGAAAATGCGATGCGTTTGACGGCTCGGAAAAGTGAAGTAATCTCTTGTTCTTGTTTTGGAAAAGGTGGAAGATATGACCATGACACTAGAAGCCTGGATATATCTTTTGGTGATCGGGTCTTTAGATGGAAAGAATGCGGATGTATTCGGGGTAGGTTAGTATGCCTCCCAATATGTTGTTCGTACTTTCCAAAGACTCTGCACGAAACATTGAGTTCGTCACGTTCGGCGCCGAACAATATCTCCCACTTGCTTCCCCTGGAGAGTTGGGCAATGGTATCTGGGACTCTCGCGTTGTCGACCATTGCTGGCTTCCAAGTTTCGTCGTCCTGGCGATTATCATATGGAGGTCATCGATGATCGTCGGCTGGGCTCTCCGTCCGGTGAGGAAGTCGCAGCGACGAGAAATCATCAAAACACTCAAGAGATGGCAGTACAGCTCTGCAGACTCTCGACTGGCTTCCATATTGTAGCAGCGATGCGAGGTTTGGTCTTGACAGTCGCTCCGAAGACTCCATTCGCGGAAGGGGTCGCGATCAGCACCTCGCACTTACTAAGCTTGCATTCACGAAACTATGAAGCTTTCATAGTATAATGAACCAAGCACGTACTTTAGCCACCCACTTCGCGAGGTCGCCAAAGCTTCGTATTACTGGTCTGATATCTCCGTGTACGGATGGTTGGGCGCTAGCGAGATCTAAAGAGGAAGCGCTATCACGAAAGCAGATGTGGCGCAGCCCCTGAGGTGGTCTTTCCTCTGGCGAACACATCACGAACACCAAACGGCCTGACAGGGAGCGAGCCCGAAGCACTGCATACAGTAGCAAGGATCCGACTAGGTACCTTTGGTATTCTAACACTGCCAAAGGAAAGGCTTTGGAGAAGTTCCCTACAGATAAGCATGGTACTCAATCATCTGCGCTAGTGTTCACATTATACCATCTGTCACAATCACGTACTGATTGTTGCTGCTCGATGACTTACACAGGGTCGGCAATCTCGACTAATTATCAGCCGAACTGAACGTGCGTTCAACGGAGACGGGATCCTCTCAGAATCCACGCTATTGAACACGCAAGAGCCACAAGGTCTAGAATTGAAGTTCAAAGATAAACATCGAAATCTCATTGGACGGCGGAAGCATAATTACTATTCTCACGACGGGCGCGCTGCTAGCAAGATCACAATTGACAGCATATGTTGGGGTATCAAGCCTTGGGTACCTAGGTAGTGGGGAAATATCCGCCTGTCTTCGTGCGGGACCCCTACTCCTTCTCCCGCCCCACAGCTTTGAGTTGAAGCATGCATAAAAGTGCTTTTGAAACTCGATGAGCGGCAATCCAGTATGGGATGAGCAGAGAAATGTCGAGAAGGCGACCGTTGTCCAAGAGACGGCTTTTGAAACCTCGAAAAAGTGTTTTCTCTCAGAGTCCCTAGCGTTCATGATGGGTTGGTCCGGATTGTATCTGAGCAAGCATTTTCTTCCGAAAGCTTATGCTTCGTATTCGTATGTATATTCGAGTTGAGAACCACTACCGGGCGGTATGCTGATGCATTGCGCACGTATCGCGTTCTAGAGCTGAACACCCTCGGATTCTGATGGCAAGCGAGCGGCGAACACTACCATCTCAGGGGCATGTATCGCCAGGAGCTGCTCGCTTGATGAGTATATATGGACAATCATGTCTCGCAGTTCTTCTCCTCATCCACACCTTCTACTTAATTATCACACCCTCTTTCCTACACTCGTTCTTTCCTATACTATCTCACCCCAGTCATTCGTTATACACGATCATATTTATATCTAATATCTAATATCAACAACAACCATCACAATGAAGTATGCACTAATCTTCGCTGCCACTGCAGCTGCCTACGAGGCCTATGGCGGATACGGTGCGGATGTGGAGTCCAGCTCGGCTGTCAAGCCTAGCACTTCCGCAAAGCCTATCGGATACACCACTATCGTCCCAGGCTATGGCAAGCAGCCGGTCACTGTGACCACCCAGCACCAACCGTACCCAACCTGCGTTTCTCCTGCCTACGGCGGTAAGGATTGCGCCAAGTGGGATGAGGACGCCTACGTGTCGACTGTGATCAAGGACTACGACAACAACTACGCTACAATCACCAAGACTGCGCAGCCTGTCGTTGTCTACCATACTAAGAAGACTATCACCCACTCCGCCACTGCCACAAGCGGTTACGCTGCGCCCACCGGCGTTGCCTACAAGAACGGCACTGAGGGTTGCTGGTACGAGTTGTACGAGAAGATCGAGGAGGTGCCATACAACCAACTTGGTCCCCACGCACTTCCTGGATACCCCGGCTCCGGTCTCTACAAGGAGGGCGAGAAGAAGCAGCCCGTTAACGTCAAGGAGTACAAGGGCGGAAAGTGGTCTGAGTACGTCCACGAGTACTCCTACGGCACTCCCAAGCCTGAGGTCACCACCTACGAGAAGCCCGGTGTCTACACAATCCCTAGCAAGGATGTCACTATTGACCACCCTGTCACCTACCCAGTTGAGGCTACCAAGACTGCGAAGGCTGGTGAGACATGCACCTACGGAGGCCAGTCCATCGAAGCCAAGCAGACCGGTTACATCACTGGTGCTTATGCTGCTTATGAAACAAAGATCAACGGTGGTAAGACTGTGACTGAGACCGTGATCAAGCACACCACAATCTATGCCTCTACCACTGGCAACTACGAGGTCGCAAAGCCCACAACCACCGTGTACGACCATGACACCGAGGTCGCATACCCAACTGCTAAGCACTACGAGGCGGGTGTTTACCACCATGAGGCTCAGACTGTCACTATCACCAAGCCTGGACAGGCCTACACTTGCGAGTACGAGCAGACCAAGAAGCACGAAGCTACCTCGACACCCAAGAAGAGCACCGACCACTCGGCCTACCCTACCTCCGTCCCCGCTCACGACAACTCTTACGGCCACAACAAGCCATCATCAACTCCTAAGCAGCCTACTGAGGGCCAGAACAACTACCCTTCGTACCCTGCCACCCCCAACAAGCCCACTGAGGGTGAGCACAACCACCCCTCTTACCCGGCTACTCCTGAGAAGCCTACCGAGGGCGAGAGCACCTACCCCTCTTACCCTGCCGGTCCGGTAGAAGGTCACTCATCTTCCGTTCAGGAGTCCTACCCAACTTCCACACCTGCGACTATTTACACCAAGCCATCCTACAACGGCGGAAACGCCTATGGCGAGACTGGAAAGTCGACCATGGCCACTGTTTCTTCCAAGGAGAATGCTTACCCTGAGTCTACTCCTGCCTATGGTGCGGGTTTTTCAGCTCCTGCTTACGGTCCTGGTTCCTCTGCTCCTGCCTATGGCACCGCTTCTTCTGCAATGGCCAGCTCCACTCCTTGTGAGAGCAGCTCTGCTTCCTCCACTCCTGCCGAGTCCTCTGCTTACAGTGCTTCTACCCCTGCTTTTGAGTCTTCCATCTACAGCGTATCCAAGCCCGCTGAGGCCAGCTCTACTCCTTGCGAGAGCAGCACTGCTTCCGTTACTCCAGCAACGTCTTCCGCCTACAGCGCCTCTACTCCCGCCAACGTTTACACCAAGCCATCTTACAATGGCAACACCGGTTACGGCGAGAATGTCAAGTCGACTCTCTCTACCATCTCTACCAAGCCTTACCCTGCGTCAACTCCTGTAGAGCACTACCCTGCAAGCGCTAGCTCCACTCCTTGCGAGAGCAGCACCGCGTCCATGACACCCGCCAAGTCGTCCGACGTATACAGCCAGGCTACACCCTCCCCAGCCAAGTCTTCGGCCTACAGCACCCAGGCTTACGGCGAGGCTTCGTCGGCTCCCGTCATGCCCACCTCCGCCCCTGCCTACGACAACACTCCCTACCCCGCTGGTACCACTTCTACCCCATGCGAGAGCAGCGACAAGCCTTCCGCTACTCCTTACGTTCCCGCAGCTTACCAGCCTGCCCCTGTTGAGGGCTACAGCAAGCCCCAGACTGGCTACGCTAAGCGTGGTGGATTGAACGAGCGTCGCAAGATCGCTGCTGCGAACTAGAAGCGTTAATGGTTTTCTTCTGTAAATTTTCGTTCTGTTGAGAAGTAGATAGAGAGGAGATGAAGTTAGAAGACATGTGTGTAGAATCTAATGGGAAATCACCATTGCACAGTTCCACCTCGAATCATAAGTGTTTACGCTTGATGTACATATTGGCACAGAAGGTGCAGACTCACAAAGACCTGCCGTCTAATTATCTGCCGCGATACTCAAGAACAAAGAGAAAGACTCAGTAATAGTGGGTTGGTATGAAGGCTTTTCAGTCCTAACTGTCAGCGTGATCAGGACTGGCGACCTCAATTTCTACTTGCACTCAGTTGTAGGGGAAAGTCGAGCGCCCTTAGGTGGGTGCTTAGTGGGGACTGCTCGACTATTCCCTACAACGACGTAGTTGTATGAAGTGGAGCGTTGAATGTAGAAAGAAAGGGTGGGGCAAAAGGGGGGCACAGGTTTGAAACAGTGGCATGGGCATGACACCTGACCCTGACGACAGACGTACCCTTTTAGGCCAGAGCTTGCATTGCGCTCGAGGCCATAGATATTATATTTTGCCATTCTTTCATCAAGCATTCTTGGTCCAACGGTAGGATAATTGCCTTCCAAGCAATTGGCCCGGGTTCGACTCCCGGAGGATGCACAACATCCTTCTCCACAATTGCGAGATCTCCTTTTTTGTCTTTTGCTGCTACGACTTAAAGACCGCGCATCATGTTGCAACACGACAAGAACAATTCTTTTTGTAGAAGAATATTTTCTGTACAATCAAAATATAGGGCTTCTAGGAAACAACACGGAGGTTTTTGTTTTGTACTACAGCTTTGTACAAGGATTCCGCAGGCCTGCGCATGTGTATTCATTCCCTTCCATAACCTGCTGTAGAGGTCAAGTCTGACTTTTGCGACAATGCGCTTGCACATCAAGCCCACACTTTCTTTTCTTCTTGTCTTCTCAGCCGCACTACCAAACTACCATCACCTCGGATGCATCTGATGTGCGCCTGCAGGCCTGGAACCGGCGAAAGTCTCGACGCGACACCAAGGTGCGGGGTGTTGGTTTGTTATCAAGCATCGCGTCGCTTCTGGCCGGTGGCTTATCAGCAACACGAGCCATCAAAGCAGACATGTCTGGTAGAGATTCCTTGGTACTCAAGAGCTTGATTTTGACACAAGACGCGCATGATCGCTCTATCTCGCATGGTGGTCTGATAAGATGCATATTCCGTCGTGGAGGACACAACGATTTCCGCAGGACTTTGTAGCTCTGTGGCAGTTCAACACGACATTGCGTAACAGCTATCGATAGTTTCGCTGTACTCCGATGCTATTGACGTGATGAATGTAGGAGTAGGCATCGACTAACGCGTTGATCGCACAAAGAGTTTTAGGAGAGCGAGGTAACCACTCTGGCGGAGACAAGTATTCGCACCCCTCAAAACCGGTGACCCCAAAATCGCGGTCCAGAGGCATATCATCTGCATTGATCGGGTTACCGCTAGCCCTATAGTGCAACGGGAGCCTGTCAAGGTCTGGGTTTTCGGTTAGATGCGTTGGCTTTGCAGCAGACGGTGGGGCTCTAGACGCTCGCTCCGAAGTGGGGGAGTCGGTGAGCTTGCTTGAGGAACATGGCGAACTGGAGGTCCCGCCCGATTTTCGAGGCTTCTGATTGGGTGTGATGCAGCAAGACAGTAACAAGTCACCGACATCTTGTTTGAGTTGCGATATGCGCCAAGCATGTGGTGAGGACACAGATCAAAGGGAATGACGAGAACGGCTTGAGGCGTAGGTCTTATATATTGTGCTGACGGCCTGGCTTTTGAGCCTCACATCCTTCGTCTGCAGTCATCTTTCGTCAGGTCCGTCTGCAATAGGCAACTGGCCTCCTACACAGAAACAAAGAGCACCTTGCATACATCTCAATCACTTGCATATCCATTTGTGACCAACAACATGGCATCTCACAATCAGCCTATGCCGCTGCCAGTCCGGACGAACACTATGGATTCACAAAAATCCCAGTCATCGGGTCAAATATCCCCACCCTATTCCCCAGCGTCACCAACGGCCCGCACAACAGCTTCGCCAACCGAAGAGTCATTCTTCGGCGCCATCTCAGCGCGCCTTCGTGGTCGCTCGCGAAGTCGCTCTCGTGGAGCCACGTCTCGCAAACGCTCCAAGTCGCCCATGGCCATGCCGCCCACCCAAGCACCTTACCCACAGGGGCGTGCTTCCACTACAAGTCCTACCAATTCAACACGGCCAACTGCAGCACCAGTACAAAATGGCAGGCCTAGCATACAAGATGCGGGTCGACGGAGTACAAGTGGAAGCGACCCATGGAAGGGACGGCACTCGAACGATTGGTTGTTCAACGGGTACTCGCTGACGGCTTCAGCCAGAGAGCTAGTTCAGCGACGGAAATAAGGCAGATGAACGATTGATGGTACTGCTGGCTGTATCACGCTTGTTGATTGGCGTCTGATCACCTTTTGATGAGCGTAACAATGAATGATGACGAGACGACTGAATGAGGTTGTGCGAAGATTATTCCGAATATTGTACAGATGAGGAGCGCATTCGAGCTGGCTTCGATGCTGTTATCAAGTTTTTCTTTCGCGTTCTTCTCTGTCGTTACATGGCTGTATAGTAGCTTTGAGCATACCTAGGTACAAATTGATGTTGCGGAATCGGCAATGTCGTGGTACTTCGTTTGACCACCTTGTATGTAAAATCAGGCCGCGTTGTAGTACGCACACAATCAGGGAGAGCAACGTCACTTGACCACTTGCGCAAAGATGTATGCTGTGTCTTGGTACCAGTTCCCGAGTTGTCGGAGTTCGTTAGCACTGCCTCTTTTTACATAATCCGCCATACTGACTCGCGGACTCTGCTCCGGTTCCGCAACCTGCCATGTGCCAGGTGACAATTGCCCTCACCGCTTTAGGGAGTACCTTCATGTCTTCTTGTGCTCTGTGCTTTCGTGAAGCTCTCTACAACACGCGATGACGATTTCAATACCGGACATGTCCTCCCTGAATGCCATAGACGTCACGTCCAATCATCGGAGTTAAACGATGATAACCCAGGTGGCATAAGTAGCCATGTCGAATTCCGGAGTATGACCCACCACCCCTCCATCACGCCCCCGTGAGGTTGACCATCCATCGGTACAAAACACTCATTCCGAATCTTAAGGATAACCTTCGCCACACCGCATCGGTTTATCGTCGAGGGTTTGCATAGAGCGAACATATATTTAAGACTGAATTGCGATCCGTTCCACCCTTCTCTCCTGTACTCCGTCTATACTCGTACCTATCATGAAGCAAGAACGCGCAACTCTCCCAACACCTAACTCGACAGACTCGTTCTGGCACACCGAACCGAATGAGTTCCTGATCGGCCACCGCACAACGGAGGAATTGCCTGCTGAGGCTGACATCGTTATTGTGGGGTCTGGAATAACGGGCACAAATGCAGCTAGGTATCTCTCGGAGGATCAGAGAGCTGCCGGTAAGAGCATCGTTCTGCTCGAGGCCCGAGAGGCATGTTGGGGCGCTACAGGAAGGGTAAGTCGACTTCTTAATCTCACGATCGTCTGATCGGTATCTACGGCGCACATCTGCTGACGATTGCGCAAACAGAATGGTGGACACTGCCAGCCCCTCCTCTTCGACCGAAGTAGCGATGTAGCCGAGTTCGAGCTCAAGAACGTCGCTGCGGTGCGATCCTACATTCAGGACAACAACGTGCCTTGCGAGTGGCGCGACGTAACTGGCTGCCGCACGTTCTGGACTGAAGAGGCGATGAGCGAGGCTGAGAAGGAAATCGAACATCTCAGGAAAACATCACCTGAAATCGCACGCCATGTTACCATCCTCAAGGAAAAGGAGGAATTTAAGAAGCACCGTGTCGCACCCGACTGTGTTGGATTGACACTAAGTGAAGGAGCCGCGAGTCTATGGCCGTACAAGCTAGTTACCTTCATGCTCGAGAAGCTCGTTAAGAACGGCCAGCTCAACCTACAGACCAAGACTCCCGTCACCGAAATTACCTCGTCAAACAGCACGCACACTCTCCACACGCCCCGCGGCACCATCAGCAGCAAGACCGTCATTCTCGCGACCAATGGCTACACATCAGCTCTCCTACCCCACTTCGCCGATCTCATTGTGCCCTGTCGTGGAGAGATGTCAGCCCTGATCCCACCCGCAGGAATGACGCTCTTGCCAAACTCGTACGGCATGGTTGCGGCTCTAGGCCAACCAGCCAACAACGACGACTACCTCATTCACCGTCCATTTGAGGGCGTTCCAAACCCTGGTGGTCATCTGATGTTTGGTGGCGGCCGCGGAGCAGGACATTATCCAAGCATAGGCGTTTCTGATGACGCTGTAATTGATGAAGGCTCTGCTGCATACCTTCGCGGTGCGCTGTTGAAGGTTATGGAGCTAGGTGGGCAGACGGAAGGTCTGAATGAGCTTAAAGCTGCCGCACAGTGGACTGGCATCATGGGTTATTCGCGTGATGATCACCCATGGGTTGGTAAGGTGCCGGGCAATGAAGGCTTGTGGCTCGCCGGTGGATACACAGGACACGGTATGCCGAACGGCACATTATGTGGAAAGGCCATTGTCGACATGGTACTCGGTGAGATGGACGGCTCCGACCTGACCGCTGTACACGAGGAGATGGTTCGAAAGGGCGATATGCCCAAGAGCTACATCCTGACAAAAGAAAGGATCGATCGAGCAAGACAGATGCTCACAGTACAGCAACAGGATGCACAGGGAGTACATATGAACGGTGTTGTATAGATCTCAATGATAATACCGTTGGCCCGTTCTTGCGCCGACTTTCCTCATGTCGAACGTGTTGAGCTTGCTCATCTTACCAACTTGATTGAAATGTGTACATGATATTACCGGCCGTGGAGCTGTCACCGCCTTGTCTTGTGACAGAATATTGACTCTCTGGGGGCAATCAACAGGCGGACAATAGCGTCTAAGGCGCGTGGGCGCTACTCCGCTTTCCCGCAGTCCCCATTGGGGTACCAAGCCCGATCGGATTACCAATTTCTTGCTTCACGGTATCACGCTTCCACAAAGCCTGACTCATATGTATGAGCCTCAACATAACGTATATATCTAAAAAAAACATCCACGAAACTCGTTTTATACCTGGTAGACGATTTCACTTGAGTCACCATTGCAATTGCGAAAACTCGAGGATCAATCCCCGAACTTCAACATGCCAGCTCACCCTCTCCCCACAAAGATTGGCGTTGTAATCTTCCCCGGATTCCAACTCCTAGACTGGGCCGGTCCCTTGGACGCCTTTAATATCCTGTCCAACAACCACACCCTCAGCCTCTGCACCATCGCCTACACACTAGATCCAGTGCCAACTCAGAACTTTATGCAAGACAAACAAGGCTCCCAGTTCTCACAGTCCATGGTTCCGACGCATACATTCGAGAATGCGCCGGATGATCTGGAGGTATTGCTTCTTCCAGGAGGTCTAGGAGCACGCGGACCGGGCAGCGACGCATGGATGAAGCCGCAAGTTGAATATCTAGAGAGATTGGATCTGAGTGGGAAAGGAAGTATCAAGTGGGTTCTGACTGTTTGTACAGGCAGTGAGATTCTGGCTCGGACTGGTTTGTTAGATGGCAGGAGGGCGACGACTAACAAGCGTGCTTTCAACGATGTATGTTGGACCCCCTCTTTCATAGTCATATCGGATTGGTAACTTACTATTCTGTTCAAGGTCAAAACTCAGCATCCGAACGTCGATTGGGTTGCAAAGGCTCGCTGGGTTGTCGATGGCAACATCTGGACTAGCTCTGGTATCTCGGCTGGTATGGATCTGGCGTTTGCGTGGATGGCGGAAGTATTTGGTGAGGAGACTGCGCAGTTTGTGGCGGATCGGAGCGAGTATGAGAGAAACGTTGACTCAGGGAATGATCGGTATGCCGAGAGATGGGGAGCTGTGTAGGCCGACCCAGAAGCACTGGTAAAACTGGTGTGGATTCCGGTCTATAGAGAGGATAGTTCTTTCGAAAGCAATGGTTCCTATCTTTTAGCAGAATCGTTTGATCAAGACTCCATCAGAATGATCCCCTCTACATTACCACATCACGTCCTGGGTGGCCGGGTAGTCGCTGTAGTGTGAAAACAAAAAGGTCTTATCTATAATGATTATCGCTATGCTAAAAAGGCTATCAAGATCGTAATGCTAAGATTTTACGGGGCGACCGCTACAACAGACGAAAACATCCACATGTCTAGAATTGTCGATTCCAAAAAGAAGAAGGCTACTTGTTGCGACGGAAAGCAGCAAAAGGAGGGAAGAAGTATGCGGGGTGGAAGCACACAAGCACAGTGCAAGCAATAGCTAACATCCTGGTTATCATTGTTAGTGTTTTATCTTTGGTTGTGAAGGACATGATCATGGAAACTTACATGCCGTCGAGCAAGAGGAACTCTTTCTCGTTTCGCATCAGCGAATTTCCCCATCCACCAGCCATCTCTGGTAAACGGTAGATGCATCGAATGAGCACAGTAGTGTATGCCAACACGACGATCCATCCAAACAGCTTGATCTTGGCAAGCTTCACAGCGCCTGTCTCCTTGTCCATTTCGTACGTGCTCTTCTCCCCAATGGTGGTCTGGTGCTTGCGGGCCTTGCGGTATCGGAAAATGTAAACGAGGATCAGTCCACCACATACAGCCATGGTGACAACCTGGAACGCAATACCAGCTACGATGAGGTTGTTGCCGCCGTCGATAAGCTTCTTGTTTGTTGTGCCACCTGCGGCCGCCATACCGCCACCGCATGCCTGGAGTACAATGGAACCGAAGTCGCAGCCGATGAAGATCCAGGGATAGAGACGTGCCTTGAGGAGCGAATGCTGGGGTCCACAGTACAGCACAAAGTGTTTCAGGGTGAGATAGATGCCAGCCGCGACAAAACTAGGACCAAGGACCAGACAGCAGATTTGCAGTTTGAAACCAGATTCGCTCCAGGGGTTGTCGTTCATGATGACGCGCCCAGCGTATCCTGCAGCTTCGAGAAAAGTTCCAATTGCCAGTGCAGCTGTGTAGGTCCATGTCTTGCTCAGAACTCCGATTACTAGCGTGGCGATGCACAGGATGGCGAAGAGGGCACAAAGAAAGGCATTAGCTCCTAGGTTGGGACGATACCCATATAGTGTTGCAAACACTGGGCATTCTGGGCTCACTTCCAAACATTGTCGGAAGTTTCCTTTCGGTCGGTCTTCTTGCGCAGACACGACGACGAGTAATTGCGTTGCGATGGCGAGCGTGGCCAACAGGCCTGTACGTGCGTAGGAACGCATAGGGTCGGCGAGATGAACGTAGAACCAGATCAGTCGAAGGAACGGACGACAAGAGCAACGGTACGTGACAAAAGAACGTTGCGAGAAGAGACCCAAGCAAACGCGAGGGACGTGGGAGGTGGACTAATTACTCCGGTGGGGGGTGGCTTCACTTACACCTAGCCCTTTATCGTGCAGTGTATATCCACCTGCCGTATACACCGTATTCATGTCCAAACTGCGCCTCTAATCTCTTTTGCCTCTTTGAAGCTCTAAGCGAGGTATGCTTTGCCGTGCTTGACCGCGCGCCATTGGCCTCGCTTAGATTCATTTGACATGGCCAAGGCGTCAGCGTCAACGATTTTGGTGGGCCGCGGCTTTGAGATGAATTTGACCAGGTGTATGGGTCGCTTCGATACCGTTGGATCTCCCTTGTTTGTCAGCGCACGTGTTGAGACGGCAAGGTGGGTTTTGCTTCCATTTGGGGTGTCGGAGTGCGAGGCATCTGTGCTATCTTGAATTCATCTTGGGACGAAAGAGTTGCTAGATGACGATATGCTAGTGACTTTGTGGTGTGGCGTCGTTCGGCTGTAGTTTACGGGTTGCCGTGTTCCCGGCCGTCAGCTGTTTGTTCCGGCTGTTCAGCCATCCGCCTTCTAGTGTTTTGGAGAGGGACGCGATAGGCTGTCTCGTCTTCGTTGCGAAATCTTCGTAAGCGCACGCGCATGTCGGGCGGATGCTTACAGTGTAGTCTCCCAAATGAGTAGATCTAAGCAGGCTTAGTCGCTTCCAGCACGTGTAGACTGCGCTAGTTCACTTGGCTTCCCTAGTCATTGCTTCCTTCAACGGTTGACCGCGGCTGACATCTTCATTAGTTCCAACTCCACGGATATCAATCGCGTCATTATCCCTGTGGGTATGCTACCAAACCCCTGAATTGAAGCGCAGCATCGAAGAGTAGATAGCACGAACGAATCTCAAGAGCATCATGATGCATCGCAAGAATACGACTGGTGTTGCTCAAACAGTAGGGTGTGTAAAGTAATGCTCATATTCGTGATCTCATCAAGCCATGCCACGACTTCAAACGCCATATAATGCAGAGAGCCTGCCCGAAACGCCCAGCAATGCCATAAATTTGTACATCCTGCTCAACCCTCAACATCCTCAACCCTAATCCACCGCTCTTCCAACGCAAGCACTACCAATTCCTTCGCACTACCCAACCCCTCTTCTCTACCCAGCGCGACAGGACATAGTAGCTCACTGACCCTCTGCAAGACCTTGTACAGCCTCATAGCCTTCTTCTCAACTTTCTTCGCATCTACCTCATCGCGTTTGGAGATGATGGGACGGGAAGAGGCGTGGTGTGGTGCGGAAGATATAGCAGCAAGGTGATTCAGTAGTTTGTGGAGGAGGAAGTGCAACCAGACGAGATTTGTTTTGGGGTGGAAACCGCGCCAAACGTCGGCATCGTCTTCTTCTTCGGGCTGTTCCTCGTCTGCTTTGGGGCTTTGCTCAACGTCAGGTCCAGCCTCGTCCTTGTGCTTTCTGGGCGACCTTCGGAGCGCTGGTGGCTCCTCGTCTTCAGAGTCGAAGCGAATGTGGTTGTTCTTCTTAGGTGAGCATCGAGGCGTGACTGGCGCTTGCTCCGGCTCCTCCTCATCTTCTTGTTCTTCTTCCTCCTCATCCGGTGCATCGAATGATTCGTCGTATATAACATGTAGTGGGTTATCGAAGACCGCCACACCGCGCATGTAACGGTATATTTCGTACTGGTATTCCTCACTTGCGTCGCCGTGGAAGAGCGCGAGATCCTTATTGAGATCCAGATAAGCGACATTGACCGTTTCCTCAGTTGCAGACGCGGCTGTGGAGCTTGAGACGTGCGACATAGCTGATATCCTTCGAGACTGGGACGAGGAAGCAAGGATGTCTGCGCGTGACAAGGTGTAGTCAATGACCGTTGTATCCAGACCAGCGAAACGGAGTTTGCGGCGCAGAGGGTCTTTGATAGAGGGCTTCATTACGTCCCCACCTGTGCGTGAAGATCGAACACAAATGTTACCAAGGTGCAAGTCGCGATGCTCGAACCGACATGCCTCTTCTGCTTTTCCAACACTAATCGCCACGCCCCAGAAGACATCCCAGGCTTCCCATATCGAAGACATGCCTCCCGTTTCCATGAGCTTCTCAACATCCGTACCAGCGTCTTGCATCTCTACCACCGCCCAGAGCTGGAACTCATCATAGCTAGCCTTCTTGCTGGGGTCAGGAAATTCGCTCTTCTTGCCACGTGGCCGCGCCTTATTCCATTCCTTCCATGCGTCGTTGAAGGAAGCCGAAGGTCTACCTTGCACAATCGTAAGGTCGCGGAAGACGGTAAAACCAGGTATGTGAGTGAGATTCTGGAGGAGCTTAACCTCCGAAGCAACATCATCAACCTGTGATCTGTAGGCATCGTCCTGTTCACGTTGTTCCATCTCTTTCTCCAGTTGAGCCTCTCTATCGCGAACTGCACGAGCATGCAATTGGCTTGGTAGGGGAACAGCTGGTGGCGTCTTCAGCGCTACGACTTTGAGCACTGACTCTTCTTTGACTCCATTTGCGGGCGATATCGCAGACAACCTGTATACTTCCGAGAAGGAAGCTTCTGCAATCTTGGTGACTTCAAAGTGCGGTGCCAGCTCGTCTGACCACTCCTGAAACCCTATGACCTTCTTTCTGTCGCTGAGCGCCAACAGCGGGGAAGCATAAGAGGTGTAGACATCTTCAGGCTCCGGGGTCGGCTCAGGCGTAGGTAAGCATGTTGCTCGTTGTATCGACGTTTGTTTTGAATGAACCGGATCTATCTGTACCAGAGTTATTATAGGTGTGGCAACAACGTCTTGGGCCACCGCAATAGGCACCACACGTTTCTTCTCTTTCTTCAATTTCAGGGTTGATCGGTCTAGTTCGTGGGCATTGTTCATGGCGTTGATGTTGCGGTCGCTTAGTACCTTTCGGGGTTTACGTGGTTCCTTGAGTAGCTTGGACTCGTCCTCCTTCGGAGCCTTAATTGATAGAGCTTGCATGTCTTGTTCCAACACATCCTCAAATGGGACAATATTCTCTTTCGTAGTAACTGCAATGCGCTCAGGTTTCGCTTTCCGTGATTGTGATCGTTTCCGTGAGGCACCCTCATCTTCCGTAGGCTCTGTCTGCTCTATCCGTAGTTTCCCCAATCCCTGCTCCAATACCGAGACATCGTCTCTTCCTATTTGTGTTGGCCGCCGCCGATCACGTGCTGCGCCGCTAATCACATTTTTGTCCTCGACTTCTCTGTGGGCAGCCTCTTTCTCGGGAGACAGGAATTTTGTAAATGCCGCCCGCTCTCCATTCCTCTTCTTTCCGTATACAACTTTTGCGGGCATGTTCGAGAGCCTGAGCGAGTGGTGTAGTTTGGTTGACGATAAGTTGGGGCTCCAGTTTGGAAGTGCCAGGGTTTGGAGGGGTCAACGGCGGAAAGTCTAAGCGAGCCGTTTCCCTGGCAACAAAGAAGACCCAGCGCAAAGCTTCTCCTGAGTGAATTGTCAGGAGCCATTATGCGCTTAACAGAGTGACGTAGCTGAAACTCCAAAACTATGCACAGATGATACACTGGAAGGATCGTTCATGG